TGTCGACACTATCCCTCGTTTTGATGGTGATGTCAACAATTTAAATAATTTTATTTCTGCCGGAGAATTTTTGTTCGACACATACGGCGATACCGAAGACGCCAATTTAAAAAAACATTTAATTCGCGCAATCCAAATTAAATTAATTGATAGAGCACAAATTTTAGTTGGCTCTCGTTCCGAACTTAATACTTGGAAAGACATTAAAAACGCTTTACAAACTTGTTTTGGTGACAATCGTAATATAGAATGCTTAGAACAGGACTTGTTTATGGCAAGACCCTTTAAAAATGAATCCCTCCTTGACTTTGGTAAAAGATTACAAGTTTTACGAAGTAATCTCGCTCAAAAAATTAGTTTACAAAATATTGACGCAACTTCAAAGAAAATTTATATAGAAAATTATGAAAAACTCACTTTAAGAACATATATTCGTGGGCTATCACCCCAAATTCAATGTATTATTAGACTTAAAAACCCCACTTCTCTAGAAGAAGCATTAACATACATAACTGAGGAAGAAAACTTCCAATATACTCAAAATCTATATAAAGCCCCTCCGACACATAACGACATTTTCTCATAACCCACAACATAAACAAAATAATCATGCCCAAAATAATCAATTTTATTCGCAACCTAAATATCATTATAATAATCCTAATAATTACAAATCCAATCAAAATTATCATCAAGCTAACCATTTCCCAAGAAACTTTCCAGCATTACAAGCCCCAAATTCTTCTGGATTCCCCAGCCAACCAATTTCCATTCAACCACGTCAAGTACCCCAAAAATTCTTTTCCAATAACCAAGTCTTTGGTCCCCCAAAAGATGTTTTTAAACCGGTGTAACTCCAAATTATAAACCCGAACCAATGTCCACTAGAACCTCATATACCTTACCTACCTCAAAGAGAACTAACTTTTCCCAAAATAATTTTAAACCATCCGGACCCCGAAACTTTAAGGCAGAAGAACTTTTTAATATAGAAGAAAATTCTTCCCAAATAACTGAAATCCCTGACGATACATTTGACTTCTACTCACAACATAACACAAACGAAATTTATACAGAACAAGAATCTTACTATCAAAATAATTACGACATATCAGATAATTACGAATGTAACTTAGCAGATCCAGATAACACTCAAAATTTTCAGACGGACCATTCGAAAACCAACCTTACATAGTTTCCGAAATGCACACTGAAATTAACAATAGTTTACCGTACATTAAAATACAAAATCCCCCAATGAAATTACTAATCGATACAGGCTGTTATAATTTTATCCTTAAACCCTCGTTAGCTCAAAAATATTTTCCTCAAACAATTTACCATTCACCCTCTCAAATAAAAACTGGAGTAGGTGAAAAAGAAGTTAGATTTAAAGCTGACATTCCCGCTATGCCAGAACTTTGCAGTAACAATAACATAACATTTATTCTTTTCGACTTTCACAATTTCTTTGACGGTATTATCGGACTTAAAGAATTAATAAATCTAAAATTTACAATTGACTTAATTAACAATCAACTAATAAATCACCACCACGAAATTACATGTCATAGAGGCATTAATGAAGCAGTTTTATCCTTAAAAAAGATTTATTATTGGCCCAACTTAGTCACAGAATTTATTAACAATTGCGACATTTGTTCACAAGCGAAATATGATAGACACCGACCTAAATTAAAATTCTCCTTAACTGCAACACCGAGTCAACCGTTGAAATACATACACATGGATACATTTCAAATAGCGAGCGTTAAATTTTTAACAATCATAGATGTATTTTCAAGATATGCACAAGCGTACCCCTTAGAACCAATTTGTAATTCCCAAACAGTTTATGAAAATTTTCTAACGTTTATTTTCCATTTTGGTATACCCCAATGTATAACTTGCGATAATGGCACGGAATTAAAAAATTCTCTTTTAATAGATTTTTGTAAATTATATAAAATTCAAATTCATTTTACAACCCCTGGTAATTCAAATAGTAATAGCCCTGTTGAACGCGTACACTCGACATTTATCGAAATTTTTAGAACTCTTAGAATTAAAGACACAAAAGCATCTACTAAGCAACTTATGCAATATGCCGTATTAGGTTACAGCACATCTGTTCACAGTGTAATAAAACAAAAACCCGTGGATGTTATCAACGGTAGATTAAATTCCCTTGATCCTTTCGACATTACCGACGAAATTATTTTAAATCAATTCATGATCGATCGACGCGAACGACTAAAAGCCATCCATGAACAAATTCACAATTTATCTCTAGAAACTAAGACCAAAAATATTAAAAAAAAAATAAATAAAAAACGTAAAGAACCCCCTGATTTTAATATTGGTGATAAAGTTTTCATTACAGACAAATCAGCCCTTGGAAGTAAAACAAAACCGCGCAAAATAAAGGCAATAGTTTCCCAAGACATCGGTAATAAAATAATTACAAATAAAGACAAACTATTTCACAAATCAATGGTTAAAAACCCTAAAGCTTTCTGTTCTCCTTCACAGGAACATGAAATTTTGGATCCAGCTACTCCTTGTTACGCATCAAGCAACTACAGCGACAAAGGACAATGAAAATGACGTGACAATTACACCCATTAAAAACCCTTTCAATTAGGAAAAGCTTAGGTAATTAGCTCTAGACATACTTTTATACATTATCTAGAATTTAAGCCAATTAACGATCAATTAAATAATCTTAAGTCATTCTTTAGAGATGTAGAATATTTATTAAGTTTAGATCATAAGTTCCCAAAATCATATTTTGGTATTTACTCTAGTTTAGTTAATCATCTCTCTAAAAGTGAAACAGTGAAATTTTCACTATTTCCGTCAGTGAGTTATTATTCACTGTAAAATTAGTGTTTTTTAATATAAATTAGTGAAATTTTAACTTTTCCAAATTAGTGTTTTTTATTATCACTACTTTTCCGGAACTCTCGACATAAAATAGTGAAATTTTAACTTTTTTGAACTAAACCTATTTCACTAATTTGTACAGTGTAATTTCCACTAAATAAATTAGTGAGTATTCACTAATTGCTAGTGGTATACTTATCACTGCGGCAAATAGTTAATATGCACTGTCAATCAGTGAAAATCCACTGTTTCATTTTTAGAGAGATGCTAAGTATCTGTTATTAGAAGCAAGTAATAAGTTAAACAATATTTCACCGCATAAAATTAGTAAACGTGGATTAGCAAATATTATTGGTAAATCATCAAAATGGCTTTTTGGTACCCTCGATTCCGATGACGGACAAAAATATGACCGAGCAATTTCAGAGTTACAAAATAATCAAAATTCAATGTCAAAAGAAATCTCTTTGCAAATGTCACTATCAACAAAATTAACTCAAAATTACAATAACACTATAACACTCAAATTTTAATTAAAAAACGTTTGGAATATTTCCAAATGAACGTTAATAAAACAATCGACGACATTGTAGCATATTTAAGAGCACAAAACACTTTGGATCAAATAATTTTAAACTGTCAAAACCTTATTACTTTTCTTGACAACCCTGATAACGCACTTTCTTTTGCAAAATTTAATACCTTACATAGTTCAGTTATACCTATCAATGATATGAATATTTTAATAAATAATTTAATAAAAATATATGGTGAATCTAAAATAATGATTCTTAAAAATACCTTTTTTTATTACAATTTAGCAAATTTTGCAAATTTCATTTTCAAACGATAAACTAAATTTCGCTATACACTTTCCAATATTTAAACCTGAAACCTTTGAAAGCTACCGCCTTTTCACAGTTCCAATCTAAAACAATGTAATTTTACCCAAACTTCCAAACCTTACACTTGGCACCAACGAGCAACAATACATCGAAGAACCCTGTCCCGAAATTGAAACACATATGTCAAAATCACTTAGAACCAATAGTTGGAGATTGTATCGCTACCCTCATCAATGAAGCTGAAGCTATTAACTGCCAGAAAGTTCCAGTTAAAGTCATCAACCCAATAATAGAAGAAATTACAAAAGAATACGTCATTACGATTCCTGGTACAAAATCAATTAAAATTCAACGTCAGTGCGTAAACTATGAACACTTATAGAAGAACCCAGTTTAGTAAAAATTCCTTACAACTGTAGTGTAAAAGTCAACAAATCAATTTATTTGAACAAAGAAGAAATAATTGCAGTAAAACCACTAAAACTTCCAGAAATTCGAATAAACAACCAATCATCAATAGAAATACCCGAAAATTCAATGGTACTACTACTGGACAAAATCAGAAATCTACAACAAGAACTTCAATGGACAAAACCAACTTTAAAATACGAAATTCACCCCGCAACTTGGAGCATCTCAACTACCCTTGCACTACTCATCACTATAGCAATCATTATATTTCTTTATATAAAATGGTACGTCCAGAAAACAACCCCTGAAGTTTCAGAAAATAACCACGAAAACATGAAGCTCCCCTTTATGTTTCCTCTTAAGGTGGGAGGAGTTATGAACGCATCCTAAGCTAGTAAATTATATAGTCTGCAGATCTCAGAGAGTCTTGTGTCATTTCTTGGAAAGCTCATGTTAGATAAAATTAAGTTATAAATATATGTAAAACACAATAATGTAACATTCTGATTCTTGCTTCTGTATAATAAATATCATCTTATGTTTTAAGTTGAAAATAAAGTTTTTAAAAACAGACTTTTTAATTTGAAAAACTTAACTAACAATAATCCCTTAGCAATGCAGTTTTATTATACATAAAAAAAACTTTTGCTGCATCATGACATTAAAAACTTAAGGGAAACTGCCCTCTTTAGGACTCTACAAATGTTTTATATGTAACAGGAGAAAAAACCCTTGCCTTCAATTGATAAAATACATAATTACAGAAAATACAACCTAGATTTGACCGCATGAATAAAAAAGCATGATAGTATTAGAGAACGCGGGTTTCAGTAACACTTCAGGATTTTCAGGAACTCGATGGCATGTTTCAGGACTTTTAGTGCCGAAGAAGTGTTTTACAGGACTGAAAAATGGTTAACTCAAGATCTGCGACGGACACGAGAACTACAGGTAAGTTTAAAACAATATTTTTTTTAATAGGTCGCCGAAAAACATTACCCTCGATTGCCCACGCAAGATCTGCGATAGTTACAAGATCTTTTGTTTCCTAGTTAAATGAGTACTTCTTCCAAAGTGTTTTAAAATGTAGGGTCTTAAGAGGAAAGCATCGTCGGCTACAAATACTCCACCTTTCGGAAAATGTAAATTATTCCTTACATCTTCTAATACTGTATTCAATGATAATTTTGAAAAAACCGCAGCATCATTTGCTCGTCCATTTGTGGCTACGTCGAAATAGCTAAAGCAATAGATTGCGTCAACGCACACAAACTAAATTAAACTATAACTGCCTTTGCAATTAAAATACTCTGATCTACTGTAAGGGGCATTTCGTATTACAATAGGTTTTCCATCTAACGCCCCACAACAAATGGAAAAATTGCATCGAAGAAATTAGAATTTTCTTTAAATTTGCTTCAATATTTTTTCATTTTGTGGTACCTGCAATAAAAAATAGTTTTAACATTTTTTTGCATGACATAGTTGAAAGAAAAACGATTGAAAATGCAGAAGAAATCAAAATGAAAAATGTATTTTCTGCCTTAATCTGTACTAGCAATAGTAATAGCCAAAAAAAGAGATATAGTTAAGAAACAATCCGTCTACTCTAAAACAAAGACAACACAAGTCTTTCGTGCTCGTTAAAATCATGAAAGAAAAATAATTCAATTGATAAACTTAATGAAGTAGTGAAAAAAATACAAGTAATGTTGATAATGAATTTAACATATTTGCCAAACATATCGCTACAGATGCATATTAACGATCGACAAAAGCAAGTGCAGCTTTTAATGAGAAAGTCTTCAGAAATTCGTAAATGATTTCTATACCCTTTTTTGTCCTATGCTAGCTTGTTTAACAAGGATTCTGATGCTCCCACTCTTTTTAGAATACACTGTTGAAAACGACGTTTCTTACGGCTTTTGTTCATATTACCAATTATTTTCAATTCCACAAAGGCATTTGACGCCATTTTACATTGAAACTAGTAAATCAGTTTGTATGAAAAATGTGAGCAATAACTGATTCAAGTTGTTTTAAACTAATCCAGTATTTTGCCATCTCAAAATTTTGAAGTAATAATTTACAAACAATTGTAAAATAGAACCTAGCTCTTTTGGCTATAGTATAGACATCTCCAAAGTAATTGACGACTTTAATTGAAGCCAAAACAGAAGAATTCATTTTGAATAAAATAAACCTGTGGTAATAACAAGGGGCATGGGCAGAAAAATATTTGGGGGGGGGTTAAGCTTGTTAGGATTTCCAAAAAAAGCTCACATTTTGGGGGGGTTTAAACCGAAAATAACGAAGTAGGTAAATTAAGTAGATGATCCCATTTGTGATTATTTTTTTTTAATAAATATTTCAATATACTTCAAAATTCCTGCGCTATTATGAAAGCCAAAGTAAAAGTTGTTTATGCTATGAGATTTCCTGACCAAATAGAGTACGAAATTTTCTGAAAACAGCAACAACAAAATTTTCCATTTGTTGCAAAGTTTTAAGCGGACGCTGTATAAATAGTCCAAATTCATATTTAATTTTAGGGAAACAGTGAAAGAAATAACACTTATCCATTGGAAACCAATTTTAACTCTGAAGATCAGGAGGACTTAGTGCCTTGGCGTGTTAGGCCAAATCCAAGACAATCTTTGAATCTTTCATTAGAAGGACAGTCAGGAATTAATATGTATTTTCTTAGGATACAAAATTGTTGGGTTTTTAATTGTAGTCCCTTATTATTAAAACAAGAGGAAGATGTGCATTGGATGCTATCGCCAATTACCTCGCATCATGGATAGCCGTCCTGCAAATAAAAAAGTGCAAAAGATTTCAGTTATTGTAACGATTACACAAAAAAACAATCAATCAATCAATTAAGTAGTACATTTTATTTAAAAATTAACACTATATACCTAGTTGCTTTTATAATATTCTTATTATTACAAAAGGTATAACTTTGTTTTGGTAAATATGTAGGTTACCTACTTATAATATTTTGTAAATGATTTTAATTATCAAATTTTTATTTTCCAATTTTGATTACAATATCTACCTACTTTGTGCTTAAATAAAAAACACAACTAGGAAGGTATTTGGCACATGTATCAAATTTTATAAACAAAAAGGATTATTAACGATTTAAAAAAAAATTAATTAAGCCTTAGCGTAGTTTCTTTTTTAAATATTATTGGTACTTTTGTAAAAGTGTTACACATGTGAGTACACAAATACACCTCATTACATATTTTGAATAAAATATCAAGTGTAAACACAATTACTAGTGCATATATTTTAATTTGGTTTAGAATCAGCAAATAGAGTGTATTTTATTAATAATTGGTTATATGCTAACTGAATAAATCTTGGCCCAAAATATGAAGATTTAACCCACAACTCTTAGGTGAAATGTGCCTCCTTACTGTGATACAGGGTGTTAAATATTAAAAAAATATCAAATAATATTTTAAAATTACATAATATTTTTTTTACCATATTTGGTACATATATGTACCACTATAGTGTAAGTGGTCCAATATGCATAATATCAGAAAGAACTGGTTCCTCACTATACCACAATAGTAGTAGTAAATATATTTATTAGCAAACCAAAAGGCTATCGACTGAGGTCTTTCTGCCTTTATTATACTACAATATTGTAAAGAAATAGTAATTTAAAATAATGAGATAATATTTTTTATTGAATAATATCTTTTAACACCTTGACCTTAGTAAGGAGGCACATTTCCCTTAAATGTTTTGGGTTAAATCTTCAAATTTTGGGCTAAGGTTTCTTCAATTAGCATATAACTAATAATAATTATAATTTTTAATGAAGCACCCTTTATATCATTATTTGTTATATTTTTAAATACCTATATGCCTATATATTTATATGTTATTTTAGGTCCTGGTCTTCCAAGAGCTGAATTTGAAAAGTGTCGAAAGAAATTCAAAATTTGGTGATAATTTTTAATACATTTTTACCTAAAACTGGTATTTTTTAGGTGCTTGGTAGTGGGTGAAGACTGATTTGGTAATTGTGCTAAGAGTAAGAGTATTTTTTTGTATTTAGTAATCTTAAGTTAGTTTTATTTATTTAGGAAAATGTCTACTTTACATAAAACTAAATACTGTCATTATCCTGGTTGCTCAAATTCCTATTTTATTCGACATCCTGACCCAAACTTTTCCAATAAAGCCTTTTTTCTTGTCCTTCAAACACTATTGATCTTAATGCAAAATGGCATTCCATTTGCCAAATAACCCCTAATTCCAAAAAATATTTTTATGTTTGTGAGGATCATTTTTTGCCCTCCCAATTTAATTCCAATAAAAGACTTATTTATGGTTCAGTACCTATTGACCCTCATTCCTCCAATTTTACATCTATCCCAACATCTTCTGTTGCTTCCCCATCATTTGACATTCCCATGGAGGTTTCTGATTGTGTCCCCCAATTAAATATTAGTAATCCCTCATCTCCAAACTTATCTGTAGATGAGATCCAATTAAATATTAGTAATCCCTCATCTCCAAACTTATCTCCAGTAGATGATTTCTCTGATTCTGAGCTTAACACTTTGCCATTTCCCATTTTAATTGAATCTTCTTCCTCCGATTCTGAATCCCCCAAAAATCCCCAACCCAGTAAATCCAATAAAACTGAAACCGAAAAGCAGCTTTATCGGTTGCATAGGAATACAATGTCCAGAGTTTCTAAATTAAAGGCGCGTTGTAATAGACAAAAAACCGATTTAACGAACCTTCGCGATTTGTATAAGAGCGGGGACTTGGAAAACGTTTGCACGGATTTAAATCAAGTCACTTTGAATTTTATTTGAGCACAGATACGAAACGCTTCGCGTAAACCCAGAGGAAGGTGCTGGAGCGATGATGATAAGGCATTTGCACTTTCGATGTATAAACGAAGTGGAAAACTTTATCGTTATTTATCCACGCATTTTTCTTTACCGTCCATTCCGACTTTAAAAAATCTTTTGGGTAAAATCCAGTTAAGTACGGGAATAAATGAATTGTATTTAGAACATTTAAAATTAATTGTAGATCAATTACCGGATAAAAATTGCACTTTAATTTTTGACGAAGTTAAATTGGCTGACCTTTTAGAATATATCGCTTGAAAACAGGAAATTTGCGGGTTCGTGGATTTAGGTCATCTCGGGCGTACTGCAGAACGGGCGGAACACGCGTTAGTTTTTATGATTTGTGGAATTAGTAACAATTGGAAAGAAATCGTCGCCTATTATTTAACCCAAAGTACCATCTCGAGTCTAAATTTAAAGTTGCTTATAGTAGAGATAATTTCCAAACTTCAATCCATCGTTTTAAAAGTTCGATTAACTGTTTGCGATCAGGGAAGCACTAATAGAGGCGCGTTAAATATGCTTTCCAGAGAAAATACTAATAAGCCCGGGCCTTTTTATTTTGAAGTCAATAATAAACGCGTTTACTTTGCTTACGACGTCCCGCATTTGTTAAAAAGCACTAGAAACGCCTTACTACGTTGTAATGTACAATTTGATGACCATAAATTTGTGAAGTTTGAGCATATCATTAAGACCTTTGTTTTTGACCGCAGTACAAATTTGTATCGCATGTGCCCTAAACTATCAGACCGTCATTTCGATTTTAAAAATTCGTTTACGAAAATGAAAGTTTCATATGCTGCTCAAACTTTAAGCTACACGGTATCGAGCGCGATTTTAAGTTTAGTGAGTGGGGGGGAACATTTGCCATCTGATGCAACCCATACTGCCGAATTTGTGCATTTAATAAACTCTCTATTTGATTCATTAAATGGCATGGGTTTAGATAGCTCAAAAAGTGTTAAACCCGTTCTTTTAAGTAATTCTGTTGATTTTGATGAAGAAGACATTGAGATACCTGATATTCATGATTTAAGTAATTACCAAAATGAGCCGTTACCTGATACCAGAAATTTGAGTTTGAAGTTTGCCCTCACTGAAGATTCAGGACATTTGGAATTTTGGTCCGATTTTTTAATAAGGTTACAAAAATTTAAACTAATTGAAATTAAGAGTTCAAGGGATGTAACTAATCAATATAATTTTTTAAAAGGGTGGGATGTAACTATAAGATCTGTAATGGCTTTGAGGGGAGAATTAAAGTTGGAGGGATTTAATTCATTGTCAACGCGGTTTTTAAATCAAGATCCAATTGAAAATTTATTTTGCCAAATACGCCAACATCGCTTTTTTAATACAAATCCCTCTTGTTTTCAATTTATAGCTGCTTTAAAAACTGTCATTATTAATAAGTTAAGTATCCCTTTAATAATTAGTAATAATAACACCGAAGATGATAAGGGTTCAAATTTAGGGGGTTTTTCAAAATTTTTGGCTGAAGCACAAAATTCCGATATTGTTTGCAAATTAAATATTTTTGATTCAGATTTTGATATTCTAGAGGGTTTAATGAAAAATGCTTCTGAATGTCAGGGTACGTCTTATGTTGCTGGTTATTTATTACGGAAGATTCAGGTACCCCAATGTCCCTCATGCCATAAGTCACTTTTTTCTGAAAATGTCACTGAAAAACATGCTTTAATTTCTTTTAAAGAGTTTAACTCAAATGTAGCCAAATTGATTTATCCTTCAGACCTTGTTATTGAGTTTGTAAACTTAATACACATTCAGTTGTTTAAGTTTTTGGACCAGCATGCTCATAAGAGTCCACTTAAAATAAACTTTAAATTTTATTTTTCCAAAATCTCAAATAATTATAGTTTTTGTGATAGCATGATTGTAAAAATAGTATTTTGGACAAGGGGGTTCTTTTAACCATTTATAAATATATTAAAGATAATAATATAAAAACTGGTCCAAATTATCATCAAAAATTGTAATTTCTTATAGGGAGTTTATTCTATGTAGGTACCCCTTAAAAATAAAAAAAAATACATAAAACAAAATTCCAAAAAAATTATTTTAGAATGTTTTCGTTTGTTAAAAAATTTTATTTAGTATGTTTAGGTTTTCTTTTGTTAAAATAAAGCACTCAGAGGTGCTTCATATATGTATGTATATTTCCTACTAGAGGCGGGACGCAACTACAAAAAAACGGAATTTAATTTAAAAAAATTATAAAACCAGATCTCTAATGCATTATTTTTAGGTTCACCTGTTTACCTGCATCTAAGTAGTGTAGCCTGACTGATTTATTTTTAAAGTTGGTTAAATAGACCCAATACACCATATTAATAATTTAATTTTTAGTGTTTTAAAATTGACTTAATTAGTTAGGTTGTTACTATAAATCTATGGTTGTGACTGACTTATTTAAAAATGAACACAGGCCCATTACCAAAATATAAACACCTGGCAGGGTTTAAATTTATAAGAGGAATTAGTATGGAGAGGTTACCATGTAGTCTATTCAAAGTTGCACATAAATATAACATTGATAGGTAATAAAATTAACACTTTTCTAATGTTTTTTTTAGTAAGCATGTTTTTTTGGTTTGAACCAGTGAACATCATCACAAAAATGTGAATAAAAGATGGCCAGAAAGTGAAATTACAAATAATGTGTAAGTATTAGAATTTAAAAAAAAATTTCCATTATAATATAGACGTTAAAGATCTTGACTATTAAAGAAAGAATTATAAATATATATATACAGGTATGAATATATATATATATAAAAAATTGAAATTCTACATTATTTATTTTATTTATTTATTTATTTATTTCTTTATTAATTTATTTTACACTATCTTATAGCTAGCAAAACAGTTCTTAAGAATTGGTACCGCTTAGTCTATATTAATTTGTATTAATTTTTCCATTTCATTATATAATAATTTTTCAATAACCATTTACACCAATCCATTCTAAAAAACTTTACTTTCAAATATCTTCAGTTTATAATTTTACAATATAAATTTTTATTAATATTTCTGACATTTTGACACAATCATGTAATTATGCTAGTCATTGCCCCAAAAAAGCTGGTGATGGCGGCAAAACACTGAGAAGTAGATATTGTTCTTCTCAGGGTAAACGGCAAGATACAGTTTTTGAATGTAAAGCATGTAATATAGGATTATGCCTGGAACCTTGCTTCCAGGAATATCACAAATTATTAAATTAATATTTTTGTGTGTACTTTTTATGTTTTTAATATAAATTAAAGTTTATTTTTTACCTAAATGCTTTTTTTATTGACGCATCATAAGCATTAGCAGCCAAAAACGATCTGAAATGCTACCGACGCGCCTGGCGCGTTTCTTCACCAATACAGATAAGGGCAGTAAAAAAAATTATTATAAGCCTATATTCTTAAATAGTGATCAGCAAAATAGTCAGCTCCTGGGAACGGGTAAGTGAATAAGGTCAGCAGTGAACGTGTTAAACGTAAAAAAAAAATTGTTTTTTTTATATACACTGTGGGTTTGTTAATCTAAATGATATGCATTTTATTAAACTGCACCTTTTATAGTTTTGTTCGTTGAGAATTAGAATGGAGTGTCCTAATCGCAATAAATTTTGTTGTGCGTGGTTTATATGTAACTGTGAAACATGTTCCTAATATTTATAACCAAAACCATAGTTCTTTCGTTTCAGCGACAGTTTAAAACCAATTACGTTCCGTACTTATGGTACGGTCCCGAAGTGGTATGCACGTACTGCTATAGGTCATTATGTAAAAACCCGGTAGTAAATACCAAATACCTACTATTTGGTTACCCCGTACAGAGCATTCTCCGGAATTGTGTTACTTTTGTCTGAACGAAAAACTCGCTTACGTTGAATCTGTAATCCCGGCAGTTTTCCATGCTGATGGAGAACGCATTAGATCAATTGACGACATTTTTCCGGATGATTCTGCAAAACGTGTATGAACATGATGGGTCTTACACCCCATTTCAATCGGCTGATGCTTCACCATTGACAATTTTATCTAAAAGTGTCCAGTCACTAGGATTTAGTTCCACCACTAGTGATATGAGTAAAATTAATGATCCACATTGGGTAACACAGAAGGATTTTCATGATCTCATACGGGACTGCAAGTTGTCCAAGGAAACCTGTGAAATCCTAGGGTCGCGATTAAAACAATGGTCTAAATCTAAAAAAATGGTCTAAATGCTGCTTCCAGTGCGAAAAAAACAGGACACAGGGCGAAGGAATGCACGGGCAAGAAGAAATGCCTAAGATGCAGCAGGGATGGGCATAGGACAAGTGAATGCACTATTCCCACAGCGACCGGAGCAGCTCAGAAGGCAGATGAGACGACAAATGAAATCCAGGATTTTCGGCAGCCCCCCGCGTAGAGATGGCCGGAGATGAGCATCATGGCCTCCCAAGGACAATTGTATCAGACGGTGGTACGAAATTTAATAATTCGACCTTTAAAGATTTTGCAGAGGTATATAATATACGAGTAAGTTTGCACTTTTGTACAGCTAACAACACAAATAGTAACTTTATTAGAACGCCCACACTCCATTTCAATTTAACACATAATACGCACTAATGGTAGAATGGATCAATTAATGCAATATGCAATTTGAGCATAGAATAATTCAATTCATTCGATAGTGATACAAAGACCCTTCAATAATATTAGTGGACATATAAACAGCATCGAAACGCTTGACACAACCGATGAAAAAATAATTAATGATCACATAAAAAATCATAGAAAAAATAACAATACCTTGTACGAAAAAGTTCCAGACTTAAATAAAAGAACTAAAAAGTTAGTTATTACAATGAAAAACGCGAAAATCCCCTAAAATACGAGAAAAATAAAAAGGTTTTTGTCAAAATACCAACTCGAAACCCAAATTTAAAGCGGCAACCCTTCAAGAAAATTTGGACCTTAAAGGAGGAAAAACTAGACTCAAACGTTATTATACATAAAAAAGAAAATAAAAAGCCTGTAAAACTAACTAATAAGACTTAACATAACTCCGTTAGGAAACAACCCGGGACTTTTACTCTTTAAATTAGGAAAGCCAAAAATAATAAACGAAAAGCATGATTTTTTGCATTTGAATAATGATAACTATTTAAGTCCGATTAGTGTAAATAATAGTATAAATAATTTAACATTGCCTAAAACATGTTCTATTTTATTTATTATCAATTAGTCAATAAAAACTCACTCACATTGTTTAATACTTTTTTTGTATTATGCGCACCTATCTAAAAGTTCAGATTTGAACTTTAGACCTAAACTTTCCCGATCCGTCCTAATGTGTTCCGGCCAATACTTAAATAAAACAATATAATAATTATAACATTACTTTTGAAACAATGCATACTATTTTTAGTGCGGCGAAAACTTCAATTACTACTACGTCCAATACAAAACATACTCTGACTTGCGTTTCACCAAAACACCGTACTTCGAGTGAAAGCACAAGGTCACGGTCAAATTCCAGGATCGGTTAAAATTTATATTTAATACTTTTTTGTTTTATGCGCAACTATCTAAAAGTTCAGATTTGAACTTTAGACCTAAACTTTCCCAATCTGTCCTAATGTGCTCCGGCCAATACTTAAATAAAACAATATAATAATTATTACATTATTTTTGAAACAATGCATACTATTTTTAGTGCGGCGAAAACTTCAATTACTACTACGTCCAATACAAAACATACTCTGCGCTTCACCAAAACACCGTACTTCGAGCGAAAGCAGAAGGTTACGGTAATATTCCAGGATCGGTTAAAATTTATATTTATTTAGACCCTAATGTGTTCAAAAGGGTTATAATTTTGCCAATGAAACAGTTCAATCACTGGGCGATAAACATTCTGAATTAACATTATTTGATATGTTAACAGAGGCAGCTATAAAATATAAAAAAGTAAGGATTCAAGAAGTAATCGTTTTCCTAAAATGTTTAAGAAATTTTGCCTAAATATTTTTATCACATCAGGACGTTCTGTATACGAAACTTTACATAAAAATATGGAAAGAAGTTAGTTCCTCAGAAAAATGTTATAAAGGCGAAATAGCTTAAAATTAACTGTAATGGGATGATATATGTTAAGTTTTTAAGCCTTACGAAATATTATATTAAATTTTAAATATTTGTTTTAAAATTGTATTAGGTGTTAGGTGTAAGTTTCACTTTAGAATTCGATACATTCTTTATTTGTTTATTATACAATAATAATTTATGAGTCCCATCTGGACGACCACTTGAGGGTTCGAGACAGAAATACCAAATAAGCAAGTATTGGTTCATGTTCCTAGTCTTAAAAATAAACATAAAAAGAGCGTGTTATAAACCTAGAGGATACAGTATTTTTTAGACAGTTGGGTTTTGCTATTTAAAGAGAGAGTTACGTTTTACTATTTGAAGCGACGAGTTGAATTCTTTAATTTTATAAGGGAGTGAATTTAACAAATAATACATTGTTTTTTTTATATAAATTCAGTTTTGTGAAAGTGTTGTTTATTTAAATAGGTATGTCTTTTCTATATTTAGTTATTATAATCTGAGGTCACAAATCCTAATGAGTGGTTAAATATTTAATGTTTAAATTAAACTATATTTTATTATTATTATTTTAGCTTGTTCTTTTTGTATCTTAATGGTTGTTGTTGGACAAAACAAATTACAAATTTATTATAATCATTATTTTATGTTTATAATTATTATATTTATATTACATTTACTTTAACATATTATATTGTAATGTAATTTTACATTTTACTACATATTTATATTTAACATTTATATACTCTATTTTTGTACAGTTTATCTTATTTTATTTATTTGATAAATTGATATTCATTATTTAATATGGTGAGACTTTGTTTCAAGTTCTGCATATCAAATAGTTATTTAGTTAGGAAACTTTGTTGACAGGTTCTGGTATGAGGTGGGTGGATACAGCTTTTCTTTGACAGGCGCACCCAATTGCCAATGATTGCCAGTTATTCAAATTAGATTAACAAAGAATGGTTAGGTAGGGATATTGATATGAAGTTGTTGTTTTATGGTCTTATTTTATTATTATTGATAATCATTTCATTTTGCTATATTTGATTTGCACTGATATGTTTTTATTACTTGATTATACCTGATTTTATTTGTTTATTTATAACTGTACAATTAAATTGCACTACCGTTGTCCACTACTATACCACTTGTTATTTATATATTTTATTTATACAAATACCATTTATTATTGTTGCTTGTGACCTAAGTTATATTATACTTTATGTTTCACATTATTGTTGTTTGTTGCTGTACATTGATAATTATTTCAATGTGTATTTGCTTTTCTACACCGTCCGAGCCTACCATTTATGTAGGTGAATAATCTTAGCAATATGGTTATATAATTGAGGCGTTTCTCGGAAAAACATCATTAGTCCAAAATCTTCGAAATTTAGATATTAGCACCAACTGTTTCCTAACCTCCATATATACGTATACAAATAAGTGTTTCTCGTAAAAATGTCAGGTATAATAATTAAATATGAAATTTAGCTTGTTCTTCTAAAAACATCACAAGTCCACTCCGTTTCGTCTAAGAAAGTCACATGTGCATAACATGTGACTTTCTGCATACGATCTGCCAATACCAATTAAGAAAACAAACACTCTAGAAAAGCTTCTACCTCTTTTACATGACCACAGCAATAGAAAATTTTATGATAACTTGATAAAAGACCAGAAGACCATAGCACCTGACAGTCCTGATAACACGGTCGACAACGATGATAACAGCAGTGGATGCGAAGACTGAGTGTGGCAGTAATACAGTTTTTAGTTTTTTCATTTATTTTGTTACTCAGAGTTAATATTAAGTTTGTAGTAAGGACAATTGTTCGTTTTTTTCTTCTAAAAACCTCACATGTTCATGTATTTTTTGTGTTTTTTTCATATTCGTTTGAAAAAAAAACATGAGGAATTCTGGACAAAGTATCTTAAATTTTTTTACATGTAGTGAATAGGTCAATAAAGTACTTTGGTCAAAAATGGGAATGTCGGAGAGTTTTTTTCATTTTCCCAAATATGTTAATTTTGGACTAATGATGTTTTTCCGAGAAACGCGTCAATTGATTATATTCATATTGTTCCTTTGATTTTGTTGTATTATTTATATTGTTGAGATGTGCGACATATATGCATGTCTGTATTGTATATGTGGGTTTTTAAGGTTTTACCTTATTAACTTAAATCAATCATACTTTTCAAATACAAATGTTTTTATTTATATTATTAATGTACAGTAACAATAATTAACTCTTGTATTAATTGCCTTTATTAATAAACTTATTTTAATTTAATACTTTTTCTTTGCTTTTAAATATGCTCAAGTACTTACGTATCCAGAACCGCATTCACAACGAAAAGGGGTCCTAACTTAATTTATTTAAACTAGACGATCACGTGTTTTGGCCAAAGGTAGTTTTTCTGTGGTTTTAATATTCTTTTTAATTATTAATGTGTGCCCCCCTTGTCCCGTTCGTTACATAACTAAAAATGTTTTTAAATAAAATAAATAATTTAATAAAAGTAGTTATTTCAGAATATCACAGAGCTATAATTAAAAGGATCCGTTATGACCCAATAACAAATCAACTTGTTGGTTTTGTCCCCAAGATATCCAACGAGAATGGTTTTCCAATAGAAAACCAAATATATAGTAAATTTATTGGAAGGTATAAAAAGATACATTGATAATAACAACTGTTTCATAAATGCCCATGTGTATATGGCACATGCCACTGGTTGATGGTGCTCCATCCCTGTCTCACAATTTTCGGTTTAGATAATCGATGTTCTTCACCGATGGAAGTACCTTGACACACGCTGTTTGAAATGAAGATATGGACTGGAATACTATCACCTGAAGAAAATCCATATTCCCCATATTTTTAGGTGAAATTCATTAAAAAACTTAAATTTAAGTAAATACCTATCTAAAATATTTTTATAGGTCAACTTAAAGTTTAAAATCCGACTGTTTGCCAGGACACCGTCCACATAGGCACAAAAATAAAAATGGGTGATTATGTTGTTTTTAAGAGCCACCTGAAAGATGTTCTCAAAAATCCCTTTAAAGATAAGCATTTCCTAAATTCCAGTTTTCTTGATGGTATTAATCTTATTTTATATTAATAATGTATAATTCATTTATTTTTTTGTTCTACAGGCTATCACCTACATATGTGACAAACTAATTAGGAAAACTCGCCAAATATTGGTTATAACAAGATATATTTTGAATGCATTTTCGAACAAATGAATATGAATTAAGCACCGAAATTATATGATATGGTATTCCACATTTACCATCTATAAGTGACATATCTAATAATACAGACGTAGTCAGAAAATGCAGAGGAATATGCAAATGTGGTACAAACTTCTGACCTTACTTATAATCTCAATAATGATGACCTATATGAAATAAAAAATAAAGTTATTATAATTAGCAACATTGAAAAGCTAAATTGTAAATAATACAGTGGAATCAAAACCAATACTGATATTTTCATTTTTAAATATTATAGTTAATACCAAACATATTATGGTGAGGAAATCTACATTATTTTGGTTATTATCTAACCAAAAGATGTAGCTTTTATCAGACAGGTGGTGCAGGGAAAGACTGTCTCCCAAAGTAAGACAAATAAAATAGCTAAAAAACAAAAAAATAAACAAAGAATGTCAGATTCTGAGTCATCGTCTGAAGCTAAACTGAGCTTTAATGAATGAAATAAATTGCTTGATAGAAGTTTTTCCGATGTTAAAAACACCATAGATACGGAAAACCTAAAAAGGGCCTTAAAGACCCTTTCTTTAGTTCCTGAAATGTATTATATTGTACAGTATGATAGGTGGTACATTGGACGAATAACTGAAACAATAAATATAAATATCAAAATCAGAATTAGATGATTATATTTGGTCAAGGGAAGAATACATCCAAACTGTTAAAAAATACTTTATTTTTATGGACCCATCAACTGACAATGGACCTTTTTGTTATAACCAACTTGGGATAGGTTGTATGCTCCGGCAGCTCTCTTGTCTGGGAGCATAGGTCTGTAGGACTGTATTTCCCATACTTACATTATGGCCTGGGCGCCACCACAACTTTAAAGAGTACAATAACCTAAGGTTGTGGTCATAAGTTAAACTTAAGGTGTAGTTACTTACTTATATTTCAAATGAAAATTATATTTATTATATACTTAATGACAAATCAATTACTGTTAAACTTTAATCTTTAAAATGTTAAAATCATGTACCGAATAGCTATTGCTTTACACTAGACAAAAATGGTTATAAAATAATGTTTTAAATGCACCGCAACGCAGATTTAGCAATACAAAATTAATAATGTTGAAAAAACCTGTATCCTGAGTTGTGTTAATGTAACTCTGGTATACTCATTCCGAGGGCTGGATCAGGCTCCTGGATGCATGGGGCTATTCGTGCTCCAAGAGTGCTGTCATAAAAGCGATCTTTGGGACAACCAACACCAGGTTGACCATTCCATCAAGGAATCCTCCATAGGAAAATTCCACAGGAAAAATAGTCTCCAGAAAACGTGCCCCCAAGAACAAACCCTAATTGAATAATACTTCAAATCAAAAATTGGTTACTACAACAAAAAAGAACCGGAGCTTCTCCGGTTTTTTCGATGAAATTCTAAAAATAAGACCTTCTCATGCCGATGAAATATTCCACACGTACTTTAGATGGCTCTTTAGCAAACTAGGAAATAGGATGACTTAGAAAAAGTTGGAAAATACATTTGATTGCACTCACCACGCTGCTTGAGAATGAAAAATTCAATTATTCAGGAGACCACTGCAATCCACTATACTCTCTATAGTCCTACTTGCGATAACTATTAGGTATTATAGGCAAACAACTAATTATTTACTAAACGAATCGTAATTAAACTTTAGTTAGATTTTTCAGATAATCTAACCCAAAAACCGGCCATTTGCCCGCGTCTACCTGTTGATTCTCCCCTTCTCCGGAACAAACCCCTCATACGCAGTATCCCTATACCAATGCTACCAACTTACAATTTAATTATTGTAATATTTTCAAGAAATAGCGCACCTCAGCAATATATAACAAAATTATAGAATTAATGAGCAACGCAGTGAATACAAACAAACTTAAACCAACCTTAGGGCCATATCCCTTCGTGAATGCATTCCAAAGAAACAGTTGCCAAAAACCGAAATCCCCTAAACCGGTTAAAATCCTATAATTGGACTCCACCCCAACGAAACCTTAAACGAAATTCTTGTTATATCATCTGACAATAAAAATCAATATAATTTCTGAGATACAAATTAGACCTCCACATTTGCAAACAAACGAATTAGATGTGAATTTGTAGACTTCTTGTGGATTCCAAATTAACATGGATAAGATATTTCTACTTGTTTGGTTGAAGTCTAAAGGAAGTTTCATTACGATCTATTAAGTAATTAGTTATTCCGTACTATTGAATACTGGTATTTATCGCACGTAGTGAAAGTAAAAGAAGCAGATGACCTCTTTTTGGGTTTTTTAAAGTAGCATAATCTTCTATTTTTTAAGACATCCTATCTCTTAGATAGTTGCAAAGTAACAACCGTGTTTGGAATGTTGCTTTAGCCGATGATGGTCATAAACCGAATATATATTATTATTTTGAAAATTGTCAAGAAGTTTTCTTAAACTAAGATGAGAGTCATATTTTACTTGGTTGAGTTCAAAAATGCATTTAATGTGCGAGTGTATAGTTACTTTTTTGTTTTCGTACCTTTCCTGTAGGAGTGCCCAGGCAGTAGTATAGTTGTTTTCGGTTGCAGCTAACGAGCTGATTATTTGCGCAGCTTCGCCCTGTAAACTGGATCGTAGTTAGTAGAATTTTTCTATATTATTAATTTGTGGATTTTTTTCAATGAGAGTTATGAAGGTATCTTTGAAGTTTGTCCATGTTTCGTACGAACCGTTAAAATTAGGTAATGGTATAGGAGGAAGGCGTGAACCATACTGATCATATGGCGAAGGCAGAGAATTTAAAAATAGTGGGTTTACTGAAAGGCTAGATGAGGGTGCACTTGGAGGGGTTTGTACGGCATTGATTTTGTCTATAATTAATTTTGCGCTTGAGATATTGGTAAAATATAAGTTTTCAAACGTCTCGCGTTCTAGTTTCTGATCTTTTGTTTCTTCGAATTGATTACTCAAACAAACTTGCTAGATTTCAATCTGGACATGCTTAAATTCGTTAATTAATGGTTTAATATTGCTTAATCTTGTGCTTAAATCGATTAATAAAACAGGATTCTTTAAATCAGCGCATTTAGTTTCCAGAAAGTTTTTAAATCTATTTATTTCATTTATGATAGCGTCACGGCGAGCTACAAGATTATCATAAATGTCAATTTGTTGCTTATTTTCAGCTTGTTGAGGTTCATGGTTTTTTTTTTCTTTTTCTTTTTTGGGTTTAGTCATTTTGAGGGATTATGGTAACAATGGGTTTCAAAAACACAATAAAGTACACACTATAGGTTCCTTCTTTTTTTTTTTTTTTTTTTTTTTAAAAGGCAGGTTAAAGGGTTTGATAAAGTGCGTTAAACATGGTTAAAGTCGCGCAAAAACATAAAAAATGACTAAAAATGCTTCAGATGGCTGTAATATTGGTTAAAGAATTATTAGAATTAAGGTTTGGAAAGTACTGGCCTATATTTTGTCGATGTTTCTTCAAATTCCAACAAAATAATGTTCCATCACACTTTCTCCATGTTTTTAAAGATGTACAACGGCGTCTGGCATCTTTGACGTTGTGTACTTGCTTGTTGGCGGTTTCAAAATTAAGGTTCCAAGCGGGCTCGAAGGACCAGCATGAATTTAAAAAAATATACCAAGGGCATAGAAATGGAAAGACTAATCGATGAAAACTCTGTCGACATCAGCCTCGTCTCGACTGCTCGCGGATGTGCTACCATGTTATGAGATTTGAACATTTAGAAAAACATTTTTTTGTGTTATGGGATAACACTATGGCCATTTATGATGATTATTGCCAAGTCACCCGCAAACACAAACAGTTGAAAGCATTTATTAATGGACATATGATTTATGAAATCATTGTAGTTAAATTTCCAACCTTGCCGACGCAACAACAAGTGATTGACCTGATTCCGATGCATAACCTTGGCAAAGCAGTTGTATCACCAAAATCAGAAAAAGATTGGCATTGTAGCATGAACTTTTTTGGAAAACAGATAAAAAATAGGAATGAAATAAATAGACTGGTGTATGATGATAGAGTAGGGGAAGACAGCTTAGCGATGTATTATGTCAGAAACAAAGTTCAGTTAACGCGATTGACAGTTAAGGTACCTGCATTATTAGGTAAGTTGTGGAGTTATGATTTCATTCCATGTAGTCTGGAAGACGCGATGTTGAGAGCGGAAGCGAATGGAGAAGTATTATCTGACTGCATAGTATGCGCACTGATGGGCGATAACGAGATTAGGTTTGAGGCTACAATAAAGATGGGATCAGATGTCATAAAGGCTACGAGTATGTTGGAGCGAATACTCACCTCACTAATTACGAAGATGTGTATGCAGTAGAAGGACGTTATTGTGGGAACGTAATTGATTATGGACATTTATATACAGTGTGCACATGGGATCAGGCTCGAAGGACCAGCATGAATTTGTAGACTTCTTGTGAATTCCAAATTAACATGGATAAGATATTTCCACTTGTTTGGTTGAAGAAGGCACTACTCGTTTATTTTAATAACTTTTATTGTAATGCTTTGATTGACAGTGAACTGTTTATTATATGTTGCTAAGGTACAATTAGCGTTAAAAGAGTGCCGAATGAGACGGATGCAACTCACATTACAAATAACAAAGAAGCGTATAACATAGTTTTTATAAACATAAAATTATTCAAGATGAACAATTATCTCTTTACACGATTCATACCGCTATTAAAGACCCAATTTTTACAATCCCAATAACATTCATTAAACAGTTCTTATTATCAATGTATCTTTTATACCTTCCAATGAATTCACTATATATTTGTTTTTTATTGAAAAACCATGTTCCTATTGGATCATAGCGGATACTTTTAATTATAGCTATCTGATCTTCGGAAATAACTACTTTTATTTAAAAACATTTTTAGTTAATTTAAAGCTACTTACATTTTTCTAAGGAACGAAGTGTTCTATAAAAAGTAGATATAGAAGATAAACCTATTTCCATATTTTTATTTTGTAACGTCACAAATAGTAACGCTACATGGATTATTATTAATAAGTTAAGTTAAACACTGTATAAGTATCATTTGGTTTATTACGTACTCACTGGTATGTTGTATTTTAAGCGGTGATTATTATTTAGTTTATTTCTATGGAGTCTTTGGGTAAACGACTTCATTGTGGTACTCTAAGGAACCTAAAAAGGGTTAATTTATTTTTAGTTTTTATGGTAGCCGAGGAAGGCTTATTTTATTTTTAATTTCACCTCATGATTTATTTTCCCAATACCTGTAGGGCATAATTTCAGTTCAGTGATTGTAGATGTGTGCGTTTTGTTCGTGCAAGTTTTAAACAATCAGTACTAGGTCCATTTTTCGTTTTGTGTCGGCTAAAATATAATTTTTGGTTAGAATAGTTTGGGTTAGAAATCATAACTTAGGATAGACAAAGTGAATTAAGTTGTTTTATCATAATTACGGTTACTTACTTGTATTTTATGTTTTCTTTTTCGTCTTAAAGGCTTGTTAAAAAATTGTTAAAGCGGCAAGGTCACAACTTCAGATTCGATGTCATGATCTGTCACAGTTCATTTGTGGGTTTGTTCCGCAATCCTCGTTTTAGGGTTTTGGTGTACACAGGTGTATAGAGTGATATTGTTTTTTGTTTTTCAATAGTTACTTGGTTGAATTCACTATTCTATTTAAGTCTAGTGCTATTACAATATGTTGTTATGCGAAGTTTATATGTTGGTAACATTGGGTCGCGGCGACGGCGCACTTAGGGTTCAAGATTGTTCTAGAGGCTTCTAGACTTGAGTGGGGAGGTCCACGGCGCCTTTGCCAGCGTGCTTTCAGATAGACGATCTGTGAAGTATAAAGGAAGTTTAATTACGATCTATTAAGTAATTAGTTATTCCGTACTATTGAATACTGGTATTTATCGCACGTAGTGAAAGTAAAAGAAGCAGATGGCCTCTTTTTGGGTTTTTTTTAAGTAGCATGGTGAGTTCAATCAAATTGATTTTCCATAATCTTTGATTTTTTAAGTCATCCTATCTCTTAGATAGTTACAAAGTAACAACGGTGTTTGGAATGTTGCTTTAGCCGATGATGGTCATATTAGGGGCTTGTTTGGTATATTTTATTGAGAAAACCGAATAAACTTCGTAAGTACACTTTATTTTGTTTGGAAGTAATATTCATTCGAATGATTTTTCAATTAGGGTTTTTCCACCGGAGCAAGTTTTCCGACAAGTTTTTTTGAATACATATTTTAGGACATAACTTCTGTCACTGGATGATTCTTCGTAGCTGTTGGTTTCCTGCATCGTGGTGTCTGCCTTCTTAGACACAAGGGTTGGCATAAACGCAAGTTCGAACCACTGAAAGCGGGGACCCATGGTTAGACGGATTTCACCCATGGTTAGACGGATTTCAACCGTGGATAGACCCATGGATACACGGACTACAACATCGAGCTTGAATTAAGCATGTCAGGATTTTTTGATGAATATGGACGATATACGTCAACAGGTTTTATTGAACATTTATTTTATTACATCCATATTATTTTACAACAAGGCAGTAAATTATGAAACATTAGTATATATTCATTTTAATGTGTAAACCAATAGCTATTCGGTATAAGTTTTATTAATTTTAGCATTATGATAGTATATCAAAGTCAAAATATAAATAGGTAACTACTTAAGTAATCATGAAGTAAGCATTTAAAATATAAGTAAGTAACCAATTTTGAAGTTTAACTTTTTGTCCACAACCTTAGGTTATAAAACTCTTTAAAGTTGTGGTGGCGCCCAGGCCATAATGTAAGTATGAGAAATATAGATCCACAGACCTATTCTCCCAGACACGAGAGCTGCCGGAGCATATGACCTACCCCAAGTTGGTGATTATTTATTGTTTCATATGCAGACCGTTCTGATGTAATAAATATATATAGGTAAACATTTCAGGAAAACAATTACTTCTTGAATCCTTACTTTTTGAGTGTTTTATATCTGCCTCTGTTAACATATCAAAGAATGTTAATTCAGAATGTTTATCGCCCAGTGATTGAACTGTTTCATTGGCAAAATTAATAACCTTTTTGAACACATTAGGGTCTGAATAAATATAAATTTTAACCAATCCTGGAATTTGACCGTGACCTTCTGCTTTCGCTCGAAGTACGGTGTTTTGTTGAAGCGCAAGTCAAAGTATGTTTTGTACTGGACGTAGTAGTGATTGAAGTTTTCTGCTTTCGCTCGAAGTACTGTATTTTGGTGAAGCGCAAGTCAGAGAATATGTTTTGTACTATTTGGGACTTAAAGGAAAACTTGACTCAGGCCTTATTATACATAAAAAGAATATTAAAAAGCCTAAAAAACTAACTAATAATTCTTCATTTAAGGAACAAAATGACAATCCTGGCCCAGACTTATAGTCTTAACATAATTCCGTTAGGAAACAACCCGGGACTTTTAGCCTTTAAATTAGGAAAACCAAAAATAATAAACGAAAAGCATGATTTTTTGCTTTACGTTGGGTTAGATTTTTTTTATTAATTAATCTAAAGAACGCTTTTAATATTCTAAACAATTGATTTGTGCATAATTAAAACTCCGATAAATAATTTGAGTTTAAAAATTTTAATACTTTTTCTGTAAGTATTATGTATTTAGTATAACTATATAAAAGTTGAGATTTGAACTTTAGACCGAAACTTTCCCGATCCGTCCTAATGTGCTCCGACCAATACTTCAATAAAACAAAATAATAATTATTACATTACTCTTAAAACAATGCATACTAATTTTAGTGCGGCGAAAACTTCAATTACTACTATAGTAGTATGTTTTGTATTGCACGGATACGTGCAATACAAAACATTCTGACTTGCGCTTCACCAAAACACCGTACTTCGAGCGAAAGCAGAAGGTTATTTAGACCCTAATGTGTTCAAAAAGGTTATTAATTTTGCCAATGAAACAGTTCAACCACTGGGCGATAAACATTCTGAATTAATTTTCTTTGATATGTTAACAGAGGCATTACGTTAGGTTGGATTTCCTCCAGGAACATATTAATTAATAATGTAAACAATTCATTCGTGCTTAATTCAAACTATTTAAGTATTTCAGTCCGACTAGTGTTATAAATAATTTTAATAGTTTACAGCCTTTAATGACAGATATCAAATTTTACAAGAACTTAAAGAACTTCATTCAGGTCAGGCTATTCTATATTTAAAAGAAATTTTTAATTTTTACAAAGATACTTTAATCTTTGTTATGGAATTTCCCATAGCAAATGACGAACATAACGATTATTTCTATTTATACCCAATGCAAACCAAAAATAATTCAATTCCTATTCGATCTAAACCTTATATGGCTCTTGCTACGTCATCCTTTCAATACATAGAACATATTTGTCAAAAGACAAACACTTATTATAATTTGTCCCCAAGAAGATCTTAGAAGCACCGCCAAAATTGAACCTGATGTTTCGATTGAACAACTAAATGACGATCATCTCTTAGTTATAACCGCAAAATAATTTTGTTTATCAACGTACTGTTTAAATGAAGAATTCCAAATAGGGGAGAGGGGGGCACATATGGACACGGGTTACATGTGGACAGTTTAAATTCAGCGCCTTAGAAAGCACGAATAAATTCGCAAAAGTTCTCATAGATGTACCTAACTTATATATACAAAAAGTTAAAAAGTTATATACAAAAGTGCTCTTTTAGTTCCACCCTTACTTCTTAAGAAGTCCCATAAGCCAACTGAATGGCTTGTGCGGGTTAGGGGTAGGAACGGACCGCGGGCTTAAAGTCCCCTCCGAAGGACTAATACACAATAGGACAAACACAAATAAACAGCCATACCCCTGGTGGGATTCGAACCCACGACCTCCGGCTTGTAGTCAGCATGCACTAGACCACTAGACCACCGTCACAATTTAAATATTTAACAGTTGATAGTCTTTGTGTTCTGGTTAAGTTCTATTTATTTATTTTTTATTACAGAATGGTAAGAACAAGCGCAAAACATTGAGAGGTGATATTGATGAAGCTATTGTGGCACGGGCCCTCACAGAAATTCGTAATGGCAGAATGTCACTTCGTGCCGCTGCAGCGGAATTTGGCTTAAAAAAATCAATGTTACACAAACGTTTAAAAAAACAACGTGACAGAGCGGAAGATTCCGGGGCAGAGTCGGATAATTTAGAACAAGGGAAGTCAAAATATGCTAGTAATCAAGTATTTTCAGCACAAGAAGAAAATATGTTGAATA